CAGTTGGCGTTTCTGTGTGGAGTTTGCATGTTCTCCCTGCATTTGTGTGGGTTTCCTCCGGGTGCTCCGATTTCCCCACAGTCCAAAGACATGAGGTACAGGTTAATTGGGTAGGCTAAATTGTTCGTGGTGACCCCGGATCAATAAAGGGACTAAGTCGAAAAGAAAATGAATGAATGAATGAATGAATGAATGAATGAATGAATGAATGAATGAATGAATGAATGAATGAATGAATGAAAAACAGTATCCAACAATGAAGCTAAATCACTCTCATGCTATTTGTATGATATTAACAGTTGTTTTCATGACTTTGTTTGCTTAGCCTACTTCGTCACAGTGACACCAGAAGACATTTTAATGGAGCAGTTCATTAAAAGAAAATTCTGTCTAAACAAGACTTCAAACTACATAAATATAAAATACATCACTTCTGAAACGGTGTTTAAAAACATTTTAGTATTTGTTAACTACCAAAATAATGTCTGTCATCTCACAAAAGCCTTGCCTGTTCATTCAACAGTTTGTTCAAATGGTAAAAATTCAGTCAAGACACAGAGCACAGCAGTGGGGAAAAAGAGAGTAATGGATGAAAAAAAGTTAATTACTACATATTCAAGGCCTGGTTGCATCTTTCCCCCCTCTTTTCCTCCTTTCCTTTTCCACGTTGGCACTAAGGGACGCAGCTCTTGCCAATTACAACTAATGTGTGAGAAAGCATGAATGGTCACACTCTGTGCAGAGTCTTGCCGTGCTCCTAATATAGTTGTTCTCCCCAAAAGCAACTCATTTCCTCTGACAAGCTCTAGTGTGCTTTGCCTTTCTGTTCACTCCACATGCACGCTTAACGTAGAGTGACTCGGTGATGTCATTACTGCTCCACCCTGCGTCCATTTGCTTGCATTTCTGGCGGTAGAAACCGGTTTTACTGCAATCTTATATAATTCTGTGGTCACATCATTCAAGAATGGACAAAAGGGCTGACCGTAGCACGAACTACTGATGGCATAGCATTCAAACGCCCCTGAATACATTGTTATTTTACTAAGGATTAATTTACATCAGTCAAATGAAAATTAATGTTGCAGAATGTTATAAAAAAGAAGGAAATTGAATGTGATGTGAGAACGTATCTATATATTTATTTTCTTTATAATGAAAATACATTGGATTGCACCTCATGCATGCCTCGAGTACTTTTCAGATTGACACGTGGCTCTCTCGAGAGGGGTTTGAAACCGCGTTTTAAGTCTGAAAAATTATAAGAACCATACTGCCATCTAGAGGTGGTATTTTGGAAATGATTACATAAGCCCATTGAGACAAGAATGAACAAAAACTAAAAAACTTTTACTATCACTAAAGGTCAAATACTGCCAGTTTTGGTATGAATAAAGAACGGACCACTATTAAAGTCAGGAAGAAACGTTGCTTTACTGGGAACTAGGCATAGACCATGGGCCTAGTTTCAGTTTAATTCACACTAATGTCCAAAGAAGGGCAAGTGGGCCAAATTTGGCCCAAAGGCTATCCTTTAATTTGGCTCACCATACCTCTGAGAATAGAGGAAGAATGATGGGGATAGTTTTGAGATTGTCAATTCAAATTTAATGTAACCCTCTGTTTGTTTATTGTTAAAATCGAAGAGAAACTAAATGTTTTAATTAAATTGTGTAAATTTATAAAATTTTGTATAAATGTACATACTGTTACCCAACAATGCAGAGAATTTGGTGAGCAAATTAAGTTTAAGGCAGATTCTGCTTGACTAGAGTATTCATTAAACTCCACTGTATAAATGTGATTATGTTTTGATTTTGTTCTGTTTTTGTTTTTTGCTATAAGTTTCTGTTTTTTTTTTAAATATTAGGAAATAAATTAGGAAATTACCCATGGCAACTTTAATGTAATATAGTTTGATATATTTACTTTTGGCCCATGGCAATGAATTTATTTTTAATTTTTTTTTTTTTTGGTCCTTTATACAAGAAAGTTTGGGCAGCCCTGGTTTACACAAATTTTGGATTTTAACTTGTTACCATAAGAGTAGCTTAGCTCAACTATATAATGGCAACAAAGAGTGATTAAAATCGAGCTGTCTGTTCTGTTACCTAAAAATTAAACCCAAGATTGGTGCATTTAACACTTAACTCTCTAGCCAGCTAATCCAGCTTCAGAGAAGGCTACAGGCTCCATTTCATCTTCACAAAAAAACAAACAAACAAACAATAATAAAATGAAGCATGACTTTGAATCAACTATGAACTTAGATCTTTGGATCTTAGATGTGGTTTTAAACTCAGTCTGTAAATTTCAAAACAATAAAAATAGCTGCAATTATAATTTGAAAAATGATAAATCAGTTATATAATAAACTAATATAACAAAAGGGCGTCATGGTGGCGCAGTTGGTAGCACGATTGCCTCACAGCAAGAAGGTCTCCCTGTGGGTTTCCTCTAGGTGCTCAGTGGTTTACCCCACAGTCCAAGGACAACTAACAGTTTTAAGTCTGTAAAGGGCACTGACAGATTTTCGTTTTGGTGGCAAACTCTTTGCATGGAAGTATCTCTGTCAACAGTTGCAGACATTAACTCGTTTTGGTGGCAAACTCTTTGCATGGAAGTATCTCTGTCAACAGTTGCAGAATTAACCTTTTCAGCCATGTACATTACAGAGATATATGAGCAGGCCAGCAGAAATGCAAAGGTCAGTGCACTTTACACAGTATCTCTGATGACATACAGAAACATCTGTAGCTGCTATTAAACCAATAAAACACATGATTCATCTAGTGCAGTGGTTCTCAAACTGTGGTACGTGTACTACTAGTGGTACGTGGAGGAACTAAATATGTCATATGCACATGC